CTGTTGCCGCCAGCTGATCTGCCTTGTTAGCCTCGGCAGCCGGGGCAACCCTTTATTCCCTGAATAAAGCCTTTAACTGTTCGCTCTGAGTCTGCCTCGTATCTCCGCCGCTCCACAACATTCTTGATCCAGACTTTAAGGACCACACTTTAAAACAGAGTGATCTGTGTCACCCTGAGCTTTTTGGCAGAAGGTACAACTAAAATGAATTAAATATAACCATGCATAATACTAGCAACTATGCTTCGTGGCTATGGAGATTATTTTAAAAGTTTTACTTGGCAAAGCTTCTAAAATAAGTTAAATAAGAAATGAGTGTGTTCAAAGAATGTTTGATACTCTCAACTAAATATGTCTGAGGTTTATTACTACAATGCCACTCTCTTGGCCTTCCAGAGACTGATACAAACCCAGCTTTTCCAATAGGTCTTTGGAGACTGATTATGGAACTAGGATTATTAATATTTGTTATTTTTATTTCACTGATTGAATGTGTATTTACTATTTTTTACTTTAATGCAGTAATCCTCAACTTACAACCACAATTGAGCCCAAAATTTCTATTGCTAAGTGAGACACTTAAGTGAATTTTGTCCCATTTTATGACTAATGAAATCCTAAATTAGCTAATGCAATCCTAAATTGTATTAACAGAAGGATACAATCAAGATCAAGTGAGGTACTAATATCACTCCATAAAGCCTTAGTAAGACCACACCTAGAGTACTGCATCCAGTTTTGGTCACCACACTATAAAAAAGATGTTGAAACTCTAGAAAAAGGGCAGAGAAGAGCAACCAGAATGATTAGAGGACTGGAGATTAAGGCATATGAAGAAAGGTTACAGGAACTGGGCATGACTAGTCTGGTGAAGAGAAGAACCAGGGGAGACATGATAGCAGTCTTCCAATATTTGAGGGGGTGCCACAGAAAGGAAGGGGTCAAGCTATTTTCTAAAGCACCCAAAGGCCAGACATATCCAACAAGGAGAGATTAAACCTAGAAATAAGGAGAAACTTTCTGACAGGGAGAACCATCAACCAATGGAAAGAAGTTGCGGGAGTGCCATCACTTGAAACTTTCAAGAAGAGATTGGACTCCCATCTGTCAGAAATGGTGTAAGGTCTCCTTCTTGAGCAGGGGGTTGGACTAGATGACCTACAAGGTCACGTCCAACTCTGATTATCTGTTATCCTTGCCATGAGTGAATCACTACAGTTATTAAGCTAGTAGCACAGTTATAAAGTGAAGCTGGTTTACCCATTGGCTTAGCTTGTCAGAAGGTTAAAAAAGGTGGTGACATGACACCAGAACCCTGCAATCATTATAAATGAGTTAGTTGCCAAGTTTTGATCATGTGACCATGGGGATGCTGCACTGGTCATAAGTCACATTTTTGAGTGCCCTTGTAACTTTGGACAGTCACTAAATGAATTGTTGTTGAGTCAAGGACTACCTGTCTTTACAACTGAGGCATTTTACCAATTTTAAAAAAAATCAAACAATTAAATAAAATAATTCTACTCTTATCTGCACTGAATTAAACACTAATGGAAAACTGTTTATTTTTTATTTCTTTTGTTTTGAACACTGAATCTTCTATCCAAAGTACAGAAATGTTGAATCATTCCACTTCTCAAGCAGGCCCTTTTATCATTAATTATAAAAATATGTCAGTATAACAAAAAAGGAAAGAGATCATCAGAGGGGTATGCAGAATATGGTAACAAAAAGTCAGTATGACAGTCATGATGTTGTGATCAAAGCTGTTTTTTTTAATGTGGAAATAAAATATGTGGACCTTTGACGGTGCTACTGCAGCTGCCATCTTAAGCTGTTTGGCCACACTCTGCAGACCCCTTTGGAAGTCCTAGAAAACAGACTAGAAAATTTTAGAAAATTTGGGGAAGGGGAGAAAGAAGTAGATACCTCTTCCTAGGTTACACATACCTTGACTTATGACCCTAATTGGGACCAGAATTTCCATGGCTAAACAAGATAGTTGTTAAGTGAGTTGTGCCTGATTTTATGACTTTTTTTTGCTAGTTAATTGAATTATTGCACTTATTAAGTGATTCATGTGGTCGTGTGGTCAGAATCATGCTTCTCCCATTGCATTTGCCTGAAAAGAAGATGCCTGGGAAGGTTAGGGACTCTGCAACAATCGTAAATGCAGGTTGGTTGCCAAGCACCCAAATTTTGATCATGTTACTGTGGGGATGCTAACAGAGTGGTTGTAAGTCATTTTTTAAAAACGTCTTTGTAACTAAATCAATGGTTGTTAAGTCAAGGAGCAGGGGGTTGGACTAGAAAACATCTGGGAGATCTTCCAACTCTCTTGTTATTTGTTAAGGATACCTGTATTTTGATTTTCCCTAACAGATCAAGCTTGGCTTTAACAACCATTATAAAACTGCTTAGGTTCAAGGATGCTACTTATGTGAGTTCATAAGACGTTCAGAAGGAAAATATATTTTTATGGATAAACTCCCATATGTGCTAAAGTTAGCATTGTGAAATTGCTGCACATGTCTAGATATATTTTAGCATGCTCTCAATATATGAGAGTTGCTCAAAGCTCTTGATGTTACAGCAGTTAATCAGGGAATGGAAATGAAATCTAGCTTCTTTCTCCTCCAAGATAATATTAGCTGCTGACTAACTTGGAAATATACAACACAGCCTCTGTTAATATTTACTTTTTAAAAACCCAATTCCTTTTTTATTCTAGGATAATATTAACTGGCTAACTAGAAATATGCAATGTATTTACCATATTGTAAGGACAAGCTCAGTTTCTGACACCTCCATAGTTTTCATGATGATGTTGCAGAAATAGTTTGCCACGGCTTCTTCTGGTTTCTCAATCTAGCCTGGAAATTTACCCGTACAAATTGTAACTAGGCCCAGACCTACTTAGCTGCCAATTTCAGAGAGAGCTGGCCACTTACTAAGGCTTACCTAACTGTATTGGGGCAAAAGTATGTTTTAGGGTTTGGGGGCATAATGGTAGGCAGGAATTAATCTGGAAGATGGGAGGAGGAGGGGGGGGTAGTCCATAACATAATGGGCAGAGAAACAAACTCAGAAAGGAACCTCCCAAATTTATCAAGTAGTAAAAGGTGGTGACAGATTTGTACTTTCAAACTTGGAAGAATATGTTAATTTAGCCTTACACTTAGCTCATCTGGTCATAAAATCACAGTAGCCTAGAGGTGGAACTCTCGCCTCACAATTAGGAGGCTATGAGTTCGATCCTAGGTAGAGGCTAATATTTGGAATAGACTCTCCTGCTGGAGCAGGGGGTTGGACTAGATGACCTCCAAGATCCCTTCCAACACTGTTATTATTCTATGTTTCCTGTCTGATCTACCTGGGAAGGCTGACAGTTGGTAACTCTTGAAACCAATAGAATCTGTGCTTCAAGTATATACGAAACTGCAAATGCAAATATTTTTAACGGAAGATAAAATGTATGATTATGTTTATCACAGTAGTTAGGCTAGTATAAATGTATGTATGTGTGTTTGTTTCAAAAGTAATGTTCACTGGGGAGGGGTGAAAGACTTAAGTGTTTCCCTTATTGCCACTATATTTTTTTGACTTGCACCTGTTTTATTTTGCATGCAGATACAGGGGAAAGAGATTTTATTTCTTTATTGCTCTTTCTCCTAGTCAGAGAAGTCCAGTCTTTTACAATGGACCAGAAACAACCTTACATTACAAGACATTCTTAAATAAAAAAAATTCAGAATCATGGTAATTATTTTGCTTTAACTTTAAGCCTCCTTGGCTGTGAACATTCATGCTGCAGTTCCTGTGTTGCAATAGAATTGCCTTCAGCCAACATAACCCTGTGTATACTTTTTGTGGCAGGAAGTTTTGCAGAATTGACAAAACCGCTGTATAGAGAAGTGAGCAAATAGGTATCAAGGTCAACACCATAAGAGAGCTGGTGAATAAACTGCCATGCTTTCACACTTCTTCCCTCCCCCATTTTCACACCCACATATCTTCTAAGATCCTTAGGTAGAATCTAATAGTTATGGGTACTGACTCACCTGGAAGCCACATTCTTTCAAATGGTTTTTTTTTTTTAAAAAGCAGTGAATTCCTTGGTGTGAAGAAAAGGTGCTCTGTGTATGTTCAGGAACTGCATAATCTCCTGGAATACCTCCCATCAAAATATCTTCAGAGATCACATCTAACCTCTCACACTGCATTTTCAATTAATTACAATAGAGCTATCCCACCAGTTGTAAAATAATTATCAGGAGTAAATGCACTAAACTATATTAAACAGGGGTGAGTGGGAACATCAGGAGGAATGTTTATATAGACAGCATAAATGTGTGGGGCAAGGACGAAATACTGTCGTATGGAGTTATTTGGCAAAAGTGTATAAAATGGAGGTCTGTGGGATTATCGTATTTGCTAAATTTAGAAAGGCGCCGAGATTTACTAAAGTGGAACTGATGCAAAAAGCTAATGCTTAAAATGAATGAAACCAGGAGTTTACTGCGCCAGTCCTTCCAAAAAACTCCAAACCTAGTTACTCCATCTTTACTTCGTCTCAGCTATACCGGAACGTGTGGCCTTTTGCTGCTGCGGCGGCTGTTTAAACGTTCCAAAACTAACCAAGTTAATTCCCGAGCCAAGTTCTACTTTCAGTGCAAGCTTGAGCTGAATTCCCGAAAAGAGGCATTACAAACTGCCGTAGTGAAAATAAGTTTTTTTCGTGTACAGAAATCCCCCCCCTCACCTCTTCCCCTTCTTCCCCCTCCCTCCCACTTCCCCCAGCCAGGAAAAAGAAAGGGAACCGAATTTTGCAAGCAAAACAGGCGTTCTTTCTCCACTTTCTTCCATTCGTTGTAACGGGACAACTTATTACAAACATCGCCCGCCACCAGGGAAGCAAAGACGAACCAGACCTAGTTTTGTTTTGTTTTGTTGTTTTTTTTGCTGGCACGAACTCCAGCGGCTCTTCTTCCAAAGCCTACCTTGCCGGATTTTGCTGCGGCACCAACTTCCAGAGGTTCAAGCGCTATAGGGAATACCCGCGCAACCGAGGCGAAGCCGATGGGCGAAGGGTGGAGAGCGCGCACTCGGCCGCGACTGGCTATTGCCCCAGCGACGGAGCGCTCCTTTCCACGCCCGACCGCTCGGCTCGCTGCTTCGAGAGAGGAAGTTAACACCGAGCGGAGAATTCAGGCTGCTGTTGGGGCGGGAGTGACGGGTGCTCGAAGATGACTGGGTGGGCAGAGATAAAAAGCAACTACAGGCGTTTCCTAGAATGTCCTTGAAGAAACTTTTTGCCCTCCCCTGTTTTGCTTTGCCGCTCTTTTCTTTGCTTTAATGAGATTTGATCTCTCGAAGCGAGGAGTTCCGTTCGATTACAGTCGAGCTAAAAGGGCGTTTCTAGGTTGCACCTTCCCACGGCTGGGTCATGGCAATATGGTATTCTCCGTGAGCTTGCCTTCCCAGCCTAAAGACAAAATAGCCTTAAGTTGTCCACACCTCTTTAAGGAGAAGTGTTTTCCCACTTATTCCAACACAGGGCGAGGGAAGCCAGAGTCTTTTATTTTTTGCTATTCATTTCCTTCATATGGCCTTTTCAAATTTGTAGTTTACTTCAGACCTTGAATGCCAGCAACTTTCTAATGTGCCTCTGAACCTAGCTTTACCTCACTCTAGAATTGTCTTTTGTGCACCATTAAACTAAAATAATAAAAATCAGGTTTTTTTGTTTAATACACCACAGCTACATGGAGTATACATTTGATGTCCTCCCATAGCCAAATAACCTGGTCCTATGTTAATGACACTACAGCAGCTGAAAATGCAGCTGATCTTCAAGTAATGAAAGTCAAGAAATACCATGAAAAATGCAGCTACAATTACCATGTTTCTCATATAATAAGGCTGGGTCTTATTTATTTTTTTGAGCCCTGAAAAAATGGCTAGCCCGTCTTTTCGGGGGTGACTTAATTCCCCTTCTTGCATCTTTGGGTGGGCGGGCGGGCGGTGATGGCTTGGATGTTGACTTCGGTGTTGGTGGGGCACTTCGTATCAGGGTCAATGCAGGCAGCACCATATCCAGGTATGCAACAAAACTACTTCCTAATGGCAAGCCCCCCCCCCCCCCACCATTCCCTCCCATTTCGCATGTTTTAATATAGGCCTTAATTTGCGGGGAGGGGCTTAATTTCATTTCATGCCTATAAAACATGCTGGGACTTCCTATTGGGGAAGGCCATATTGTTGGAGAAACAGGGTACATATAAGAAAGATCAAATTAATGCAACTGTACTTCAAATTGGCAAGATATTAAAGTGAATACCTACTTTTCAGAATCAATCATGTACAATAAAGGAACTAGCAATAAAGAATTACAACACAGATTAGCATTTGTAGAGCAGATGCTTTACAAAAGATATTCAGATGTTGTGATGTGTCTAGATCAGAACTGTGTAGGAATGGTATTCAGTGTAGGACTTTATGGAAGCAAAAGTTTGGATTTTGAAGAAGCAACATAGGAAGAATATTGACACTTTTGAACTTTGGTGTTGGAAAAGACTCACACTTTGGATATCACCAAATGGATCCTAGAACAACTCTCGCTCCAGGCACAAATGAGCAGATTCAAATTGTCATACTTTGGATATATGTGAAAATTTAGCTTTCTTGGAAAAATGTGAAAACTTAGCTTTATGGAATCTGAAACTACACTGCTCAAAAAAATAAAGGGAACACTTAAACAACACAATGTAACTCCAAGTCAATCACACTTCTGTGAAATCAAACTGTCCACTTAGGTAGCAACACTGATTGACAATCAATTTCACATGCTGTTGTGCAAATGGAATAGACAACAGGTGGAAAGCACAGGCAGTTAACAAGAAATCCCCACTAAAGGAGTGGTTCTGCAGGTGGTGACCACAGACCACTTCTTAGTTCCTATGCTTTCTGGTTGATGGTTTGGTCACTTTTGAATGCTGGCAGTGCTTTCACTCTAGTGGTAGCATGAGACGGAGTCTACAACCCACACAAGTGGCTCAGGTAGTGCAGCTCATCCAGGATGGCACATCAATGCGAGCTGTGGCAAGAAGGTTTGCTGTGTCTGTCAGCGTAGTGTCCAGAGCATGGAGGTGCTATCAGGAGACAGGCCAGTACATCAGGAGACATGGAGGAGGCTGTAGGAGGGCAACAACCCAGCATCAGGACTGCTACCTCCGCCTTTGTGCAAGGAAGGACAGGAGGAGCATTGCCAGAGCCCTGCAACATGACCTCCAGTGGGCCACAAATGTGCATGTGGCTGCTCAAACAGAAACAGACTCCATGAGGGTGGTATAAGGGCCCGATGTCCACAGGTGGGGGTTGTGCTTACAGTCCAACACAGTGGAGGATGTTTGGCATTTGCCAGAGAACACCAAGATTGGCAAATTCGGTTCATAAAGTGGTAATTATCTTGTTAATGCCACAATTGTTTCAATTATATATCTTGCACATGGTTACTATTATTGTTTTTATATACTTCTGAAGATATACCTTATATCTCCATTTCTGGCATCTCCATTCCATCATTCATTCATGCCCTTCTTGGCTTATAAAAATGGCCCAGGGACTCTCTTATGATGGGATCTAGCAGTGGTGAATTCTTCCTTGAGAGCTTTATTGAGACATGGTTGCTTCACCCCTTAAGGAGTCTTGGTTCACACTCTCCTTAAAAAGCTATCACTGGACTCCACTATACCGAACAACTTTCACCTGGTATATAAAGGGAAGTTGATTGAAAAAAGGGTCACATAACAGCATCAGATTAAACAGATTATCTGGGTCCCCTAAGATTAGGATTCAGGCCTGGATATGGAATGGAAAAGGCATTGGTCACTTTTATATGGTATCTAACAAGAGCAGGATGGAACCTACCTTTTTCTGCTTCACCTCTCAGTGGTCTCTGGTACCATCAACTATAGTATTCTTATTGACCAGCTGCAGAGATTGAGATGGGCAGCACTGTATTGTGCTGGTTTTGCTTTTTTCTTTGGGATCCATACTAGTTGGTGATCAGGGCCAGTCTCAACCTCTGTTGTGTGGGGTGTTTTAAGATTCAGCCCCTACCCTCACTCAGCCCCTACTGTGTGCACTGCTGTAAGATTCAGTGCTTTCCTTGCTTCAATTCAACATCTCGCTGAAGCTTCCGGGTGAATTAATCTGCCACCATGGGCTGAGATATCACCAGTTTGGTGTAGTGTTTTAAGGCACCGGACTAGAAAGCAAGAGACTGGGAAGCCCACTTTGGCCATGAAAATCAGTGGCGTGACTTTGGGCCAGTCAGACTTTCTCAGCCCAACTCACCTCAAAGATTGTTATGTTGTGTTATGTTCACAGCCTTGAGTTATTTGTAAAAATAATAGAAGGTGGGATAATAAAACAAACAAGCAAACCCAAACAAGTTAATAAATAAATATCCCTGGCAAACTAAGCAATGGTATATTAATATTACTGTCATGCCTGGAATCTATGATAGTCTGGATCGAGAACAACAGGATTCATTTTGTAAGATGGATTGCTCTATAAATCCACAAGGATTTGGTAATTTTTATAATTTTCTGCCAAAAAAGAAATTTTGTTAATTTAGATCAGGGGTGTCAAACTCACCAGCAACACCCACCACCATTTTAGCGAAGGGAGAAAAAGTCACGATATGTCACATGATGACAATGTGACACTGTGAGTTTGACACCTCTGATATAGATGAATAAGATGTAAAAATGCATTGAATAGTTTTCATGTTGAAACAAGAAATTGATTGGATGACTTGGTTTCGAGGTTCCCAACTCCAAAAGGACTCCGGGTAGTTTTCATTTTTTATTATTATTATTATTTTACTGTTTTATTTGAAAACACACAGGGCTGCCTATCTTACATATTTTAAAAGAATAGATAATATAAAAAAGAACATGAATGCCCAGATACAGTAGAACCAAAATAATAACAACTAAAAAACACCAGATTTGAAGATCTTAAAAGTGATAGTTCTTGTGGGCTAACATCATACATATATTAGTTTCTAGTACCCCACACTGGAACATTTTTGTTAAATATTTAATGCCACCTGAAGAAGTAGCTACTTTTTAAAAGAGAGAAGTATCAAGTTTGCCTAAAACTTCAGATATACATGAGTAGTTGTGGTTACCCACTTCTTAGCAGAAACACATTCTTAAAGGAACACCCTTAACGTCATGTATTCTATAGTTGAGCTTTGACTCACACTTAATTTTCTTGAACCATGGTTAACCTAAGAACCAGTGTTTAGTGCTGGACAAAAATATTTTTTAGAATTTTCCACTAGTGTTTTTTCAGCATATTCTTCTTTACCTAACCATATCTACTATTTTCTCTTTAGTAAAATAATTAGTGAAATTATGGAAGCAGTTTTGATCATAACAATTTGATTGCAAAAGATTAATTGAAGAGTAACAGACAATTATTTTCCCCAGCAGTTTGGGGATAGGGAGAATATTGGTACAATCTACCATAATACAATTTCTACAGTTAGAATATGCAGGCTCTTTGGATATTTATAGAAGTTCCCCTCAATCCTTCTCCAAGTTGGTGCAAACGTATTACCATCTATATTTTAATCTCCTCAATTCTTGCTGAAGACGTGAGGGTATTCAACTATTTTTGTGAGTTGTTTTATATTTTGTATATTTTTTTTGACAATGAAAGTATATATCTAATTATGGAGCCTGAATTTGTAATCTCTTATATAGCTACATCCAATATGAAGGAGGAGGCAATATCAATATGGCTTCAAGTAAACAACAAGTAGCTAAAAGAATTATGCACACAAGTAGAGTAGATTAGAAGATGCTATTAATTTAAGGTCTAAAATCACTCACATTCCCTTCTCCATCCTTGCTCCAAATCCAGATTTTGGAGCTGGATGTAAGATATGCTACTGTGGAGGCTTTGGGACAAAAATAAAACACAAATACATGTTAGTATTTTCCTGGAATTTATCAGTGAGTTCTAGAAGCATTAAAAAGGAACTGCTTCCAGCAACTTTACACTTTTCATCCCTATTTACTCTCAGAGGTGAAAGAGCTAGTTTTTAGGCTAGTTTTTTTTTTTAAATTATTAAGTCTGGAACAGGAGATG